CGTTCCCCTCTCCTCTCACAGTGACAACGACGAGAAGCCACTGAAGGGCAGCCAGCACTCGCTGAGCAGAGAGATCAAAGCGGGGGACAGCGGGGACAGCCTGGTGGACTACGGAGACGAGGACGTCCAGTTCAACGAGGATGGGTCCTTCATCGGAGAGTACGCCGGGCGAAAGGAGAAGAGGGTGTCCGCCGAGATCAAAGCCTCCACTCAGACCCCGGCGTGAGGAGCGGTACTTCCAAATCCCCCCCGTACGGACATTGAAACCTGCAGGGAGGAACCAGAGCAGACAGACATTATCCACCGAGCACAGAGTGTTGTGTCAATCGTAATGCGTCATTACTGCCACCCTCATTTTATACAGCTCCGTTTTGTCAAGTTGCAACAGAGTGACCATTACTAAATGCTGTGTATATAGAGTGTATATTGTACGTCCTTTTTTTATAATTATTATTTCACACAAAAAGTTTAGAGGGCTTGGATTTTCTTTTCTTTTTTATCTGCATTACGCACTGTTTGTACAAATGTTAGGAAACTCTGTGACACATCGTGTTATGGAGATGGTATATCTTGTAGCAGGCCACAGATACGTGGGAATATCAAGTTGATATTTGTTTTTCAATTGGAGCATAATACTGACATTTTATATTTGAAATTGATTCATTAAATATGATTTAAGATGTGTATAAAGGTTGCTTATTAACTTATTCTATCTCCGGTGGTTTTGTACCTGAGGAAATAACAAGGAACGTTCCATATCATAAACAGTGAGTCATGCTCCCTGTGATGTTAAAATAAAATGTAGCTATTATTTCTTGTTTAGCATTTAAATGGACCGATCAGTCTGTTCTTACCATAAGGCCCTGCACACTGCTATTACAGATATGGAAGAGATATACAAATATTCTAAACGAGTAAACATTTGCATTAATCGGATTATAAAAAATTGATGTATAATCCAGTCACCTTTTTAACAGAATTTGTATTAAAAGTACAACTGTAGTTGAATCCAGTTTGTAGAAAAACAATTTTACAATGGTACTTTAGCCAATTGCGAATATTTTAAATAAAATTGCTCTTTGATTTAGTCTTTAGAGGAAATGTTTGACACTTTGGGAAATAGGCTTATTACTGTTTGAGAATGTTTGTACGTTAAATTTGAAGCTACAGCTAGCAGCCTGTTAGCTTGAAGCTACAGCTAGCAGCCTGTAGGTTGAAGCTACAGCTAGCAGCCTGTTAGCTTGAAGCTACAGCTAGCAGCCTGTTAGCTTGAAGCTACAGCTAGCAGCCTGTTAGCTTGAAGCTACAGCTAGCAGCCTGTTAGCTTGAAGCTACAGCTAGCAGCCTGTTAGCTTGAAGCTACAGCTAGCAGCCAGTTAGCTTAGCAAACGGTGTTGGTCCCAAAGGTTACAAAGCCAGTCTACGAATGATCTAAAACATTATTAAACTTGCCCAACAACATCAAACTAATCCTTTTAAAGAAGTTATGATGTGATTTGTAATTGTACTTTCATAGTGTTTCATAATGTTTGAGGACTTGTTCATTTATAAACATAACGGAAACAGTCCATAGTTTGGGTCGAGCTTCAAAAGATTTGTCAATACATTTGAGACTGCAGGTTAGCTTCGCTTAACATAAAGTTATTGATCCAAATTATGAATGATACATTTTCAAAAACGTCAAACTTTTCCTTTAAAGTAGTAGTTATGTGATTCATAATTGTAATTCCATAGTGTTTCATAACCATTTGGGAACTTGTGCTTTTAAAAATATAGTGGATAAAATGCAAACACCCCCTTGATAAACGTCAACAATGCCATATCCTACACGTCCCACTCTTTCTTCCATTAGAAATATGCTCTGAGATGCCCAATTCTCTTTCCATTGCCATGACAAATAAGTGCCCATTTAAGAAGAAAATACATAACACCTGTGATGCATTTGAGACTTCTCTTGTAATCTGGTTATATGGTATTATATATACCCTGTGGAGATAATAGACACAGTTTAGTTCCTAACACGCCTTACTCTGTTCCTTTCAATATACTGCCATTCAAAACCCAAGCTTCATGTGGTTCAGCATTAACATTAGCACCATGATCTGAAAATTGCAATGTTTTGTAAAAAAAAATTCAGCCATTGCATGTTAAAAATGTTAATTGGTGTTTTCGATGTCATTAAATTGCTTTACTTTCTTACACCGTGGTAATGGACTGTTTGCTCACAACATTGGTCTAGAATGTCCTGTTTGTATGCCTGCCCGAATGAATACACACATCTCTGCCTTTCTCTCCACTCAGCAGTAAAACACGACTCCAGGGAAAACTGCTCAGAATAACACACAAGATGTTTGACAAATTGTTCCTATTTGAAGTACGACTTCAACAAATGTCACAGCAGGGTCAAGTCTCTGTCTGAGCTCCTTGTTTGATGACTTTAGCTGCGGGAGAGATTCATGAGGAGTGAGAGGAGTGGGCTGAGACAGGCACTGGATCAGGGAGCAGAGCTGTAATCATGTCTGATGCTTGATAGCAGGGAGTGGAGAGTTTCTCTGTGAGGGTTCTCTCCTCAGGTACTCTGCCATCACTCAGACAGGTTGGCCTTATCTGCAGAGGTAAGATGCTCCGTGCATTCACGTGTCCGACCTTGAGGTGTTTGATAATGCTCCCTTTTGAAGGTCCTTTGGTCTTTGGCAGCACTGAACAGCTGGACGTGTCCCTGCTCATGCCATCAGCGCTGGGGGGAAGCTACTTACGGAGCTTAATTCTGCAACATAACAATCACTGCCCTCCGGAGAGACGCTGCATTACATCACAGCTAGAGGAGCGCGGCCTGGACAAAGCCTCTTAGAGGAAATAATAAAGAGACAATATGGTACTAGAAGGGCGCGAAGAGAGGGCAAATCTGTCAAGGCCGTTTCCACAAGTGATAAACAACACAGGCACTCGCACAGTGATGCAGGTCATGAGGATTTTGCAGGTCATCTTTTGTAATTTAGCTCACGATCAAACCAAAAATACAACCTCATTTTACACTCAAATGGCCATATGAGCATGGAAACAGTAACTGTGATAATTATTTCCGCCCTGAAGTGACACTTGAGGTGTTTTCTAAAGTTCAACTAATTTGAAGCTGTTAGCAGTTATTTTATCTAATCTCTGGAAAAGCAATCCAAAATCTGCTCAACGTTCGTACTGTATGTTTTTATATCCAAAATCCAAACCTGTTCTACCGTGCTATGGTCTTTTTTTGAAGGTTAAAAGATGTCACTTTTACTGCATGTTCTGGGAGAGAAAGTCAATATTAGAGGCTGTGTGATGGTCATGATTAGATTAGAATTGCTTGGGTGTACCGCTAAATTGAAATTTTTTCAATGTGAGCAAGAACTTCAAATCAATTCCTTTATGGATCTGCTTCAAAAACATTAAGCGTGAGGAGGAAAATGGGGAGACACTGGAGGGAGACATGGGAGTAACCTGAGTTCCTCTTGAGTTCAATCCAAAGGACATGGTCAGTATATGTTGCCAGCTACCTTAAAGCCATAGACGATATGAATACGTTGTAGTTGTAACTAATTAACCATTGGTCTGTGGACCACCATTTTGAAACCTTGAGTTTTCCATTTGATTAATTTGGAGGAGAATTGACACCAGAGATCTAAGTACAACCAAACATTTAGCAACACTTTTTTTAAGCTAACCAAAATATTACACTTTCAAATTCACAAAGTTAATTGTAGTACCAAAACGTGCGCAACACCCAAACCGGATAAAACCGTTATTGCGAGCTATCATTCGGTGTGTCAAAGATATCCTGTAAAGTGGAACCCTTGAAAATGTCAAAATGTTTTCTCTGGTATTCTTCTTCAGGTGGTCGTGACTCGTGAGGTTCAGGTATCCTTCACACAGTACTTCAGATGCAAAATTAAATCTAATTCAGTCTTTGGAAATGTTTTGAGGCTTCGAGGTTTAATATTGTGGATCTAAACGTTTCCATGCTTTAATATTGGAAAAATAAATGTTCACACTGCCTGTGCTGCAGCACCTCTTTTCACCCTCTGTCTGAAACCAGAGCCCAGTCTGCTCTGATTGGTTAGCTGGCCGGTTCTGTTGTGATTGGTCATCCGCTTACAGATGTCCCACCTCTTAGCCTCATCACGTAAAATGTGTTTGAGCGCTAGCCAATAGAAGTGCAAGTGCATAGTGATGTCATTTTGTTACGGAGGCAATCAAAGCAGTCCAGTGGAGACGTTTACATGCACAAAGATTTAACACAACTATCAAACATATAAGCCCAATACGGCCTTTTTCAGGTAGAGGAGACTTTCTTTAAACACTGCTCGCTGTGTTTGTATGTACACGGCCGGTGGCACCAGGTGAACCTTGGGTTTAATGACTTATATGAATGCGACCCTCAAACACACAACCCCATTGTGCATTGAGGTCATGGGAGGTCAATGATTCATTTGGGAAAGATGTATTCAGAAAAACTCCTATGCGACACCCCCGAGCAGCTCTTAGGATAGAGGTGAAAGGATCGGCCTATAATGTGAAAGCCATAAAGTACAGTAACATACATTTAACCAGGCTTTTATGCACCCCACCCTAAATATCATTCCATGACCTCAGTCCATTACATTGGCAATGTCAAAGGCTTAAAAACTGCTCCATTGTGTGTCCGTAGCTCTAATGGAATTCACAGCGGGTAATGGACACGAGCGTCTCTACGGGCAACGCCATTTGTTGAGTGATGAATAGAGGAGAGGGGGGGGTCAATGACTTAAAGCACAAGGTGCACTTTTAAGAGCTCCAATGACGTGCTCGAGGAAGGCGAAGCGCTCCAGCAACGTTTCATCGAAAATCGGAGTTATAAATAATACACGACTCAAATGAACATCAGAATTGCCTCGAAGGTCTTGCGCTGGGGAAAAAAAATTGATGCATTAAGTAAAGAGGAAAAATTGACTCCCTCCCCTGCCATATAATTTCTTCCCATGTCGCCACAAAAACGCCATGGGGCCGACATCACAAAAGCAAAGGGAAACAGTGGATCCAATTATCATTTCACAGTGTAAGAGTGATAAAACGTCTGCATGCTGTTGCCTCACACCACATGACTTCCTGGATAAAGAAAGACATCACATTCTGTTCCCTCAACAGACAGACACTTAGCGGCCTGCCTACTGAAGGAATTATAAATGTAAGAAGACGATGTCTGATTTGTGGCAGTTAAGACTTGGCTGTATATCCAGTGAGACCATCTCAAAGAGTCAGGGACATCTGAGGGAATGACCCCAACACTCGCGCTGAAAATACACCAGGTTTATGGCGCTGTCAGCAACTCACTCTGTATGAGAGCGTCACTCATTAACACATAAGCCTGTGAGCAGCAAATTCCTAAGGTGCGATCTTTTACCTCAGTCACCTGTGGAGACAGATGTACTTTATACTTTCTGCCAGCTTGACAATTAAGGGTTTAGAAGTCTACCGAGTTTAAAAAGTACTGAAGATGATCCGAACTAAAGCTTTTGTTTTTTTTCTGAGATCAATGTCCGAATCCTCTCCGATAATAATACCAACAAATATGTTTAATAAATGATCCATCATAAATGTATAATGTATTATATTCATCAAGTACACAGAATATACAAATCTTTCCACTGTGATTATTCAGTTTTCTGAAAAAAACAAAAACGTTTTATTTTGTTAAAATTATACAAAATAGTTTAAAGGTCCCATGTCATGCTTTTCCGGTTATTACCCGTCCCCTTGTGTGTTATGTAGCTTGTTATGCATGTAAACGGTCTGCTGAGTCAAAAACCCTCAAAGTACACCCTGTAGGGAGTAAAACTCTAACACAGAGAACACCTGTCTATGCTGCCCCAGAACGCCTCGTTGGAGATTTCTTATTTTCCATTGTTTACTTCCTGGGTACTCTGACGTGGGGATACCCAGAGGCCACACCCTCTGCCAGCCTTTCACGAAACAAAGCTTCACAAACCTTTCAGCGATTCATGCCGGATATGTACAGCGTAGGGCACTGAAGAACGATGCTGTTCCTACTTTGTTTGGACCAGCGGGAGATTCGAGTACACAACCTGTAAGTATTCATTGTTGTTTTTGTATTTATGATGTTTAAATGGGTAAACGTTTTCCGGGCTACTAAGTTGGGATGGCGGAGAAATGCTCTCTGCAGACCCATTCTCACAGCGTTATAAACCTTTTTCTTACTCAATATCAAGCCACACTTATTGTTTTTACTTCGGCTGTGAGTGTTTGTGTTTGCTCAGGATGAGTTTTGCTTGTTCTCGCTGTATCGCCGACAGCAACGAGCCTCTCAACGTCGTGACCAATCAGAGCACACTGGGCTCACAGGGAGGGGGGGGCAGGAGCTCCAACAAGCCGTTTAGGACAGAGAGTGAATACACATAGTTTACAGAGATGCTGTATGAGAAACCAAAGTGATTTTGGAAAATTGCACAATATAAATCTATTCTAGTAGACCTCAACAATGGAATTATGATCAGTGGAAATGGCCATGACATGGGACCTTTAAGGTAGGGTAGGTCATTCTGGAGAAACCAGCTCGAGTGCGCTAGAATTTGAAAATACACAGCCGGAAAAAATCTGCCACTTCCTCACAGAGCCCCTCCTCCAACACACACGAACGTACACATGACCAATGAGGGCACGAGATAAGTTTGTGCACAGATGGAAGGCTGACAGGCAGGTAGGCCATCCAGTTATTTTAGCCGGGCCGGCTCAGATGATTGGTCGTGCTTTTTACAG